GAAGAGAAGATATGCGCCAGTATCTCCGAACCAACGTGTGGCTGCGGGAGCTTGATTACCAGCCGGCCGGCTGATACGTCTGACACTTTGTATCTGGCTCGTCTTTCTTCTAGCTGGCAATGGATGTTTGAGGGTTTCTATACCATGATTGTTGCAAGACTCGTCTAGCTTCGGGACTAATACATCGAATTATGCGGGGGAAAAACGGAAACGAGGGAAAGGACAAGCCCTACATATGGATATCCATAACGCGATCGCGCAATAGTTCCTGTCGCGACGTTCGGTTTTCAGAGGTGATCTTATGTAGAGCCCCCAGTGTGACTAGCTGATCTGGATACCGCACAAGACTGGGATGGCATCCGCCATCCGCGCCCGTCAGTAGCGCCGACTAAAAAGGGGCCACGTGTGTTAGCTCAATGTCTGGAGGCATCACAACTGGACTTGGGCCGGAAGGCATCGTGAGTATATGGGGTGAAAGGGGAATGATCGCACTTAGGTGCTGTGCCTGGGATGCTCTCGAGATCCAGCCACTGCAGCAGACCTAGTCAAGTCAAGCGACCGGGCCGGTTGCGGGGAAACAGCGCCCCACGATCGGATTTGCCATCGGAACTGAGGTGGAGTCGGCAGACGGGAGCGACCATAGCCGCACCGGCGTGGAAGTTGCTTTGTCTCCCCTGTTCACTTTGTGCGAGACGCGGCCGGTCGCGGGTCGGAGGCGGATCGGGTTGCGGCAATGATGGGAAGCTAGATCCGGGCTGCGGTGTACATAGAGAAATGGAACTATTACGGGCGGGGCATCGCCGGCGCGGTAGCATTTGCCTTCGAAGTTTGCGGGGACAACACGGTGGTTCAAGGGGATGGAAACGTCTTTTGCAACGTCGTTCGACCCAGCACCAAATGGCTGCCCTCGAGAAGTGGATTGCCAGGGGCCGTGAACACGGGGAGGGAGACGTGGTGCACAGACAGTCATCGACAGAACAATTTGATCACCAATCCTCAAGCAACACACCCCTCTACACACTCGCCGCCGACCGCAAAATTGGCTTCAGCCACCCCATGAGAAGACGTTGCCGAGATACAACTTCGAGATGGCCGGCGATGCATCGCAAGAAGCGATGTAGGCGTAGCTCAGGGGGGCCAGGGGAGCTTTTTCGACAGGGCCAAGAGAAGCTCCGTTTTGGACTCGCCGCTCATTGCCGCTCTAGCCCGAGGCTCGCTCGGTGTCATTATGTTTTCCTCGGCGAGACGTTTGTATTCTAGCGCGCAATGTGGAAATAGCAAGGCCCACCTC